ACTTGTAGAGCTACACTGGCCATCATGGATGCTTCTTTGAATTTTTTGGAGGCATGTGATTAAAAGGAACAGAACACTAAATACCATTTTTTGTTTGTTTTTATTTTCATCTAAAATGCTGTCACCAGGACACATTATGCAGTGGAAGTATTGTGAAATATAGAAGACACAGAGAAATCAGCAGAGCTCTAGCTTCCCTATGACTTCTTTAAACTAAAATATCTATTATTGTCCACTTGACCTTGTGATCGAATCTACACCTGGTGTAGGATGTTTTCAATAAATTATTTGTGAACCCCATAAAATATCCTTAAGTTACAAGCCTTTTACTTTTATACATCTTAATGCCTACCGGTGTGAATGTGTGATGAAATGAGAATTTCATAACACATTTTCTTCCCATCAGCCATATGCAGCACTTTTTGTGGAATGGGCAAATGTAATGTCAGTAATGTCACGTAATGTCAGTTCTAACTGCTTTTGTTTTTACGTTTCCTGGTGTTTGCTATTTGTTTGTTGCGTGCTGATGTTCCAATATCGTTTTACTTTCAAAAGCCAATATTTCAACAGAATGAAGATGACTAACTGGCAGTTGATCTGGCAGTTGATCTCAGAGTATCAAGAGATAAGTGATGCTTTAGTGGGGTGAATGGTTAGACATCCGACAGAACTTTCTCACAGGTACATTTGGTTGTGCAGGTGAGAACTTTTACAGGTGAGTAAGTTCTCTTGATGAAAGTACATCTACAAATGCAAAATGGCTTGAGAGCTACTACTCTCTAAAAGGCTCAAGTAGCGGTTCAATCTCTGTTTCCTCCCACACAAACCATCCAGAGGAGCTGCAACCTGTTCGGCTAAGAAGAAATGTGATTATTTTCCTTCATCAGCATACAATCAGAACAGACAGAAGCCTACTTTAGATGTTAAGAAAAGGAAAATAATATGCAGAATCTTTTTGTCAGAATGCATGAAGTAATCAGTCATTCCTGAAGCACAGGAACCCACAATGCACCCATGCACAATACACACCACACTGTCACACGAGAAAATGTGTCTTCACATTATCTCATGAAGATTCTCAATCCAAAGGTCTTGATATGATGCCAACCCATCCTTCACAGCTACTCAATCCTCACGTCTTCTCAAGGATTATGGAACATTTTGTTTTTGACTGTTGTTTAAAAAATGCAGTTTGACCTCAGACAGTGATACTAGATGAGAAGGCCATTAAGGATACCTGCTGGTATCCCATTAGGTTCTTCCACAGAAAAAATCTTGCACTCTAAGCTGTTCTGACAAATTTGGGAGCAAGAAATTATCCAAGATTTCTTGGTACATTAAAGATAAAGATAGTTTCTGTTTCTAGAACAAAGAGAAAACCAAACAATAGACTTGACATGATGCAGACAGGCAAGTCATTTCTCCTACCGACTGAAAAAAAAGTATATATATATATAAACATCCCACTGAATACAGGAGGAAATCTTACCTCCTGAGCCACAATATCCCCAGGTATGAATATTAATGAATGTTAGAAAATGCTCCACTTTATTCTAAATTTGAGATATATTTATTTACTTTTTACAGCAAACACTAAACGCTTCAGTCTTCATCTGAACAGTTGAATAATATTGTTTGAGGTTGTTGAATTGCCATGCCAAAAAAGGTGGAAGGCTTTGAGTAAAACTTGAGCAGGTTTTTCAGGGTACATTGGGGTGCAAAGAGAGGTTCATCTTTCTAAATACTAATTAAGCAGCAGCTAATATATTTATTTATCAGTTCTCATGCATGAGTTTCAAAAATGCACACTAAATTGAACCCAGCAAAAACTGTTCCATGTTTAAATTTTGTTGCTCTGTGTCATACTTCAGTTCCGTCCCTCTGTCCACAGCTTTGCTTTGATGTTTCATGGAGGTTTTCCTCAGTCAAACAGAAAACTTCTAGAAATCATGGTGATATAGTTATGTATTGCACACAGTAACATGTCTTAAATCAACACTGATTTCCATTTAAGTTTGAAGTGGCTATCAGGTCTGACCTGATCAGTTAAGCAGTCTATGACAAAAAAAAAAAGCATTGAGGAAAGTATAAAATAATTTCTGGTGTAAAAGCACACCAAGAACCTGCTGGGATTATTATTATTATTATTATTATTATTATTATTATTATTATTATTATTATTATTATTATTATTATTATTATTATTATTATTATTATTATTATTATTATTATTATTATTTCTTCTTTCTTTTCTAATAAAAGCAAATGAACTGTCTTAGGACACCAAGGACAAAGCTGTAGACCTGCTTGAGGTTGTGGTGGGCTACAGAACTGCAGAAAAACAGCTTGTTGAGAAGACAACAGTTGTTGGGGCAATTGTTAGAAAATGGAAGAAACTCATTTTCTAACAATTGCCCCAACAATGTACTGGATTGCCTCCGTCAGACAGGGGCTCCATGCATGATCTGGCCTGGTGGAGTGTCGATGATCATGACCAAGGTTAGGAGTCAGCTCAGAACCTGGTCCATTACCTGAACCGATCTGGGACCACAGGCTCAAAGGTTACCATCGCAACACATTACTGTGTCACCGTCATTAATTCATTTTTCTGCAAGGTCCTCTCTGATGCAAACACATGTCCTGTGACCATGTGGATGATCTGAGGATGTAGGGGAAAAGGTAATGAGGTCAGTTGAGACTAAAACAGAACTTTAGGGTATAAGCTTTATTTGTTCTCAGTGGGTATCAAATTCTTATTTTTCCCACTGTATCATCAGTACTGCAAGTTTTAAATTTGCTGTTACATGAAGATCTTATACCTCCCATATGTGTTAAGCCCCATGTTAAATTCTCCCATATGTTCCATATTATATCCTCCCATATGTAAAATGTTAAAGCCTCACAAACGACTCATATTAAATCCCCTCATATGTTCCATATTAAATCTTCCCATATGTCTCATGTTAAATCCTCCCATATGTTCCAGGCTTTGTTCCAGAACAACTAGTACAAAAACATTAAGCAAAATTTGTGCAACTTCCTTTTCCTGGATTGAAGCCACAATACATGCTACATCTTGCTCTGGATTATGGGGATGTTATTATGCTTTTTTTTTTTAACTGCCAATCTTAAAATACAAGCGTGTTTGCTTCATTGCTGATCATTGCTGAAGAATTCATGTGGTTTTTCACTCAAGACATTTTACCATGGGATCTAAAACCCTTCGGCCAAGGTTTGTGTTTTGAGAAGGAATGCTTGTTTTGATGAGGTTTTTTTTGTTTTTTTTCTGATCATGAACCATGAGAGGTGTTGCAAATGTTTTATTCTCTCTTGCAACAACTTTTGTCACTGTAGCAAATAAAAGAATGTGTGAAGTACTTTTTTTGGAAGATGCAATTCCACGGGAAGGCTCTAAGATTACAAAGGGCTGTACTGCTGAATGAGTTGCATGAATGTCAGATGACATGCAGTGAAAAGAAATAGTTGTAAGGTTTATATTCTTCCATTTGGACTTGGGTTTGGTTTCTTCAACTGATGTAATTTAGTCTGAAATAATGCCATGTCTATATAAAACATTCCTTGGAAACTTGAACAACTGAAAAAACTACTTTACCAATAATGACAACTTGAAGTCAAAATAGAGGTAACTTACACTGCCTGGCTCTTTATCTTGCCCCTGAGACAGTCCAGCACAGGGTGCAAGATACTGGCAGGGAAAGCGTACATGGAACGACATAACCAAGTGACAGGCATATTGTACAGAAACGTCTGTGCAGAATATGGACTGGAAACCCCAAGATCAAAGTGGGAAACACCCCCAAAGGTTGTGGAGAACACCAGAGCTAAGATCCTGTGGGACTTCCAGATCCAGACAGACAGAATGGTAATGGCGAACCAACCAGACATTGTCGTAGTGGATAAACAACAGAGGAAAGCTGTTGTGGTAGATGTAGCAATACCAAGCGACTGCAACATCAGAAAAAAAGAACACGAGAAACTGCAGAAATACCAGGGCCTCAGGGAGGAACTGGAGAGGGCCTGGAAGGTGAAGACCACAGTGGTGCCTGTGGTCATCGGGGCCCTCGGGGCAGTAACCCCCAAACTGGAGCAGTGGCTACAACAGATCCCAGGAACAACATCAGACATCTCAGTCCAGAAATGTGCAGTCCTTGGCACAGCCAAGATACTGCAGGACCCTCAAGCTCCCAGGCCTCTGGTAGAGGACCCGAGCTCAGAGGATAAGAACCACCCGCGGTGGGTGAGAAGGGAATATTACAGCTCCTGTACTGGATCATTAATGTCTTATTGGCTTTAATCTCATTCGCTAAATAATCAGCTGCCCAAACAGTTAAAAGAAGTACAGTAACCATGGATTCATGTTTGATCTGATGTTTGTGTGACCCGGCCGAGGGGCGGGGTTCCTTTTATTTATAGGACGCACCAGAACACTGATTAATATACAACGGTTTATTAAACAATTTCTTTAAAACACTTCTCTTTTTAAAAACACATTTCAGGCGTACTACTTAGTCCCTGGAAGGGGAAGGAATTCTGTGAAATAAAGACAAGTTAAATCATTCCAAAAGAAATAAATGAACACAAAACATGCCATGCAAAAAAAAGAAAAACAAAGGAATAATAAATCCAATAACAAATAAGCACGGACTGCAAACAAACAAAACACTTCAAACAATGGAATAATTGTGGATGTCCGATTTCAGAAGCCGCTCACAAAAGGACCGAAGGAGTCACGCCCCACATGTCCATATAGCAGCAGATTCCGTTCAGAACTGCTCACACCACACTGACAGGACAAGACAGCAGAGCGTTCAAAGCGCTGCAATGCCCACAGCAATCTCGTGCCCAGGAGTGGAAGCAGTTTCCCAGAGAGGGAGCGGACCAACAAGTGAGGACTAGATGGAAGCCACACCCCGCCCACGAATCAACGATGCGCTTCTTGTTGCACCTGGTACTTATTTCACCAAGCTTTCTGACATTAATGCCTATATTTTGTTGTGCATGTGTATGATGTAGGCCTATGTGTGTGTGTCTGAGTGTGTCTGACAACCTGGATGAGAAGTGTTTGGTCACCTCCCAGGTAACCAGATATGTAAATGTACAGGAAGAGCAGTGTGCTGCTCTCCTCCCACTTGCAGCCTGTGTGGATAAATAGCAGCTTCAACACAGAGAGATTAGCTTCATCCTCACTGGACACCTGGCATCCTGAAGCAGGTGAGTTCTGGAGTAGACTACAATCAGAGGGGTTACATGTGATTTGTTTAGTACATCTGTAGAAAGTTTCTCATATAAATTAGCTTAATAAATTTCTGAGCTGTATTTAACTGTTGCTAATTCTTTTAAACTTGGTTTCATTCCTTTTCAGACTTTATTGGCAGACAAACAATGGCAGGTAAGTGTGGCTTTTTACAAGAATTTTCCAAGACATAACTCTAAGATAAATTCTTGACAGCAGAAGTGTTGTGACTGAAAGATACAGACACAATAATGTGAAGGTGCAGTACAGATCATAGGAATGCAGTTTGGTCCAATTTTAATGATTTAAAGCCACTACCTTGAAAAGCACAAAAAAGAAACAATTAGATATTTAAATTAATTGCATAAGATAACTTCAAATGCAAAAAAGGCTTACTCTGACATTTTGCAAATGACAGTGGGTTCATTAAAAGACATGGAGGTTGGAAAAAAAGATTGTTTTAAATGATTTTGCAGTTAAAAGCTCTGTAGCATTTCCCTAATAATTTATACAGGACGAGTCCATGAAGGTGTTTTTTTGCCTGTTTAAATACAGTAGATGGATAGAAAAAGAGGAGGTTGAGAATGACCCAATTATTTTCATCAAGATTTTCATTTTTAGCAAGTCTCCACTGTAAAAAAAAAAAAAAGAATAGGTCTACCTCAAATTTACAATAAGATACCAACAGCTGTCTTTGCTAGAATTTCATATGAATTGTATTGTATAAATATGGCAACCACAGCTGCCATTTTTTCCCTTAAATTAGAGACTTTTTCTTTTACATTGTAGATTTGGGCTGCATGGAAAATGAAGTTTTTGGGCTCATTTAGAGCAGAAATCATCTACATAATTTCCTCAACCCAAAGTATTCATAATGATGCCAAAATGATATATGCAATACAATGGACTGGTTTTACCATTGAAACCTGTGTTGTCTGGGTTTACTATGGCTCATAAGTTTTTTTCCTTTTTTTATAGACGAAACCTTTAAGAAACAGTTCCTGGACGCGCATAATAACTACAGGGCTGCGCATGGTGCTCAAAAACTGACATACAACAGCGAGCTGAACTCTGCAGCGCAGAAATGGGCTGAGCATCTTTTGAAAACAAAGACTATGAAACACAGTAACACTGAGGATGGAGAAAACATCCACTTCTCATACAATTCACGTATCGTTACACCACAAGGTGCCTTCTCCTTTTCTATTACATCTTTTTTTACTGGCTTTGATTTCAAAGTAATGAATTATGATCACAGTTGGAAAAAATTAATGTAGAAAACAAGAACAGTCAATGTTGTCTGCTTAATGTTTGGTCACTGAAAGAAGAAGTTACTGTTTCCAATCAGTTTTTTTTTTGCAGTCTCACCTGTTTATTCTCTGATGTTTCAGGAAACGGAGCTGTAGATGCTTGGTACAGTGAAATCAAGGATTATGAATTCAAACGGCCTGGATGGCAACCAAACACTGGTAAAGCACAACACACTCAACAACTTCTAACTGAAACACAGATCTATTAAAAACATATAGATTTAGAGAAAAATGTACACAATAACAATACCATCATCCTCGCAAATCACATGTTTATACTGGCAATCCTGAAAAGATCGAGCTTGAAGAGGCTGCAGATGACCATCTGCTTCAGCATGGGGGAATGTTCGACAGAGTTTAACACCACAGTCTGATTGGATGTCTGTCTGTATTCCTGCAGGACATTTTACCCAGGTGGTGTGGAAAGACACCAAGGAGCTTGGTCTTGGCTTTGCCACTGATGGTCACACTGTCTTTGTGGTTGGGCAATACCGCCCAGCTGGGAACATAACAAACGCAGGTTACTTTGAAAAAAACGTTCAACAAAAAGCTAAAGGTAACCATTAGAACACATTTCAATTTCTTCTAGCAAAACTTCCTTACTCTGTAAACAAAAGAACTGTCCTATAGATTGAGCTTTCAAGCTCTATTATTTTGTCTCACATGCTATCCACACAATCACACTATGCAGACATATGCAGAAATAAATAATAAAATGTAACAATACAAAGTGGACACATTTGCCACAAGTAGCAAGCAGTCCCATCAGTAAGAATAGACATTTGTATAGATAAGAAGAAGAAGGAAATGATTCCACCATGCAGGCTCACGGACACATACAGGACATTTAGCACATGTCAAATATCCACAGCAACATGATTCTGCTCAGGAGCTAAAAAGGATGGGCAGCAACTTTAGCTTGGCAGCTGCATTGCAACTCAACTCAGTTCCACCTTCTGAAAGATTTTCTCAACCCACTGAAGATTGTCCAGTCCAGACATGTCTGCCAGCTGGAGAAGCTTTTATCAGTCTGGAGCTTCATGCAAACCACAAGACATTCTTATCTCTCTGCATATTTAATATGTGTACTTGTTTCCTGAGTCACTCTTTACCAGTATTTCCTGTCTTGTTGCAGAATAAAAGCTGGCAGGTAACAACCAGCAGAGGGCGGACTGCTGCAGTTTACACCTCCAGTGGGAGGAAGTCAGCTCAGGGAAAAAGAAACTGAATACTTCTGGTGATGGGAAGGGGAGAGTCTTTTTCTTTCTCTCTTTCTTTCTTTCTAAAAATAAAGTTTTTTTTCTTTCTTTTGTATGTTGAATTATGACATACAGAATAGTGTAAACAGTAATCTGAGCAAAATGAATAAAGCCAAAATAAATTCTTTTTCCTGAAAATGTCTAGTGCAATTTCATTTGTAAAGCATTACCATGCATACAGCATATAAGGATGCACATTGTGTCTTCTTCTGAAACAAATAAGATTGTTGAGTTTTGTATGTAAAAGAGGAAACACATGGTGGCCCTGTGGAGCCATTTTGTTTTCTGAATTCTATCAAACAGGCTGTCATACCGATTTGATTATTTTGGAAACCTACAAACCTTCATTGAGCAGAACTGTACTCATCACATACATAAATACAATGTTGGGTTAATTAGTACCACCTGCAAAGTTTCACTTGCAGGACTTACAAGAACTGTTAATACTAAAGGAAGTGCTATAGACAATTCACCTCCTGGCTCCAAGAACATAAAGGTTTTCTTTAAAATAAAGTAAATACTGCTACCAAATTATTGTCCTACAGATTGAAAATCTGTGAATATTGTGGTCCACCTCCAGTCCTTAAGCCTGGAGGATTAAGTCACTTCCTTTTCAGTTTCATGTTACTTTGACTCAAAAGCAAGAAGAAATAAATCAAATTTAAGTCAGTTTCACTAGTGAAAATTCCTGCTGCAACATACATGAACATTTCCAAAAAAACTGAAAAAATTTGAACTAAAAAAAAAAAACAAGGACGGAAGATAAATTCTCAAAGCAGTCACAAAATGGTATTCTTTAATACCACCTCAAAATACTCCTAACAATACAATCCGCCTCAAAATACTCCTAACAAGAATCACTCAGATCTCTGAAACTGTTAAGCAAATTCCTCAACCAATCCATTTACCTTAAAAACAATTGTAAAAAATAATAAATGGAATTCTTAAACAAAAAATCCTTATTAAGTAGAACATTGTTTTCAACATCTGAACAAAAAATCTCAACAGCAACATTATATAAAATAAAAGTAAGAATTAAACATAAAAAAATAAAAGTGTAAACGGTCTCTAATGTCCTTCATAAAGTTAAGAGAACCTATATTCACTTATTCACCTATTTAGACACACATTCACACAATTTGTCCTGGGAAATTGAATGAGCAGCAATTTCACACACATTCACACACTGATGGTGGTGAGCTACTGGACTGTAGCCACAGCTGCCATGGAGCAGCCTGATGCACGCACCACCAGACCCGCTGACCACCACCAGCAGGCAGGGAAGCTGGGTGAAGTGTCTTGCCCAAAAACACAAAGACCGAAAAGATCCAGTCTGACGGGTTTTAACCAGCAATCTACCGGTGAGACAAGATGAACTCCAAAGCTCCAGGGTCTCCATAAAACGTTGATTTTAGTTCAAAAAGGAACAGGGAAATGCCACAGCTAATTAATTTCTTTCTCTCTTTGTCTTAGTCAGTCTGCATGTGGATTCATATATTTTCCACATTATAAATATGTGCATATAATTTGCCCTCATTGAGGTCACACTTCCTTCATCCATTATCCACCAGATACTCTGTTACATCCAAGTGCTTTTATAATTGTTTTGTTTTTACTTTTGTTTACCTGATTTGCGTTCTATTCCTGTTTCACTCTGACTGCTGTGCACATTTTGTTTGTGAATTTTGTTTTGTAAAATCTGTTCAACCTCCTTATTCATTACTCCCTTTGTCTGAGAATATTCTTTAAATATTTTCTTGGAATTATTTTCTGCTCTGTATTTTATTTGAGCAGTTTTGATTTTGACAAGTTCTGTACATTCCATCTTGTTCATCTTTAATATAAGGAGTTTCTGTGCTCCAGATGCAACCTTTTATGAATTATGAGTTTCCTCAAATCTCCACATAATAATATAAGCATGATGAGACAGTTGAATCGTATAGAATCTTGTAATACTGTATTTTTCCTTTTGCATGTCTAAGGCAAGGCTTCCAGAATGTTTTATGATTTCTGAATTTTGCTTTCATATACTCATTTAGTATATATTTTAACATATGCTGTTATTATATTCATTATTTTTCGCTTTCCAAACTATATTATATTTGATTTATACACAAATATATATGTCCATGCTTCCATTTTCTAACATCCTTGTCCCTAGTGGGGTGTGGAGCCTACCTTTAGGTAACGTTCCGGGTGAGAGGTGAGGTCATCTTGGACAGGTCGCCAGTCTGTCGCAGGGCAACACAGAGACAGACAGGACAAACACACACACTCACACCTTGATGTCATCATCCCCATCACTCCCAAAGAGAGTCTCAATATCTCTGAAACTTCCTAGTTTATCATATCACTTCCTTTTTAACATTAACTTAATTATTCAGTTTCAGCAGCTCCACTTTAAAACATCAAACATGCCAACCCTTAGAGGCTCGAGGGATGGTTGTTTACTATAACCTACACATTCCAAACAGCAGCTAAATTATAAGGTATGGTGTTATAATGAGCAGGGTGTTCTGTAGTGGAGTCTGGGAATGCTTTTAAAATGTTTAAGAGCGTCATCAGAAATTTGAAACCAATAGTTTGATGTGTTTCTAACATGCAAAGCAGATTAAGATCAGCAACTCCTCCTTCAACCTGGCATTCCATGCAAGTAGAAGTAGCAGTAAATAGTAGAGAAAACATATGTTCTCTGGTTGTTCTACAGTAGCATCAGGAAAAAACTCATGCAATGTTGTTCATCATAAGCGGTGGCTACACTTGTATTAAACTTGTGCTTATTTTTAATTATGTGTCTAATGATTGAGCAGGTATTGTTCTTTGACATTCTGAAAAGATATAGAAGTCAGAACTGGTACATGAACAACAATGTTACCTGAATTGTTTACCTTTAAAACAATTCAGGCCTGCAGGAACAGAGATTCTTTGGCAACATAGTAATGGTGCCTCAGAATTCAGCCTCTTGTTGTTGTTTTCTTTTCTTGGTTGCTGCTCTGTTTCGTGTTGTGGGGAATGAAGGTAGATAGGCCGGTTATTATATTATCTTTTCCAAAGAAACCTTGGAGTTTTGAGTTCCTTCTCATCTTGCTTTACGTGATAAACTTTGTTTGATGCTGTAGGAGTGCCGTAAACAACATTCAGGGTGACAACAACTGAATGGCACCGTCTTCCTTCTCTTCATAGATCTGGCTGACTTAATTTGCTCCTACTTGTTTGTGGTACAGGAGATGAAAATTTATTGAAGTAGTTCAACACATGTCTCAATGTTTCAGCTAAATTTAAATTTAATTGATTTCATTTTCACAGTTCTTGAAGCTTTTCCACTGAAAAAGATGCCACTTAACTAACCGGTATCAGTTTTGCATCTCATTGATTGATGTTCATCTGAAATGACACCGTGTCATTTTTGTGGAATCTTGTCAGACTCCTGTCTACCTGGAATCAAACACCAGTCACCGCATAAAGAAAGCCATAACATATTTACATGTGGGTCTTCCTGAGTGGGAAAGCTTTGATGAGGTAACAAGCCCCTCTGCTTCTTGTCTCCACCTGGATCATTTTTCCAGGTCCACGGAAAAACCCAGTGAAACTTTTAGAGATCTTCTTCTCATGATCACAGCAATAGAGACTAACTTTATTTTTGTCAGTAAACACAATACAAATCAGCATTGCTGGTGTTTTTTTTTTCTTTTTCATATCTCCAGTCATCCACTGTAGGCCTTTCTGAACTTTCAGTGCAAAGTGGTAAATACTGCAGTTCTAACTGGTTTTGTTGTTTTTGTTTCCTCATGTCTGCTATTTGTTTGTTACTGCCGTGCCCACATTTTGTTTTACTTTCAGGAGGCAACATTCCTGCAGCAAACAGATGAATAACTGGCAGTTGTTTTTTTAGTTCTCTTGCAGCAGCTCTTATCAAAACCAGTTTGGTGTGTTGCATTTCACTGAACCAAATAAAAAATGTTTGAAGTACTTTTTTGGAAAATGTAATTCCATGGAAAGGCTCGAAGATTAAGCACACAAAGGGCTGTTCCGCTGAATGAGTTGCATGAATGTCACGTGCTTGGCAGTCAAAAGAAATAGTTGTAAGGTTTATATTCTTCCATTTGGACTTTGGTTTGGTTTCTTCAACTAAATTAATTTAGTGTAAAAAATTAATTCCTCGTATATGTATATATATATAGAGAGAGAGTTTTTTCTTTTCTTTCTTCTCTTCAAGAAACGAGAATGCATGTAAGAGGAAAAGAAAAAACAAAGCGTAAATTTTTACTTTTCTTTTTAATTACATCAATTTTGACATCCACAGAGTTAAGACTTTGATCAAAATAAAATTAAAAGAGAAAAAGAAACTCCTTGGAGAGATTATTTTTTGATTGGGTTTTGAGGTTAAACCTCTATTGTTTTTTTATAAGCCAAGAAACAGTTTTTTGTTATTTTTTGTACAATGTTTTAAAAAATAATTTATTGATATAACTTAGGGATGTGAAGGAATCATTTGGAGACAGTTTCATTTATTTGAGGTTTTTCATAAGTCAAAAGAAAGAAGAAAGCAGTGCCATTGATGAATATCGTTCTTGGTCAAGCAAAGTTGGCAATTTATTTGAGTCAAATAAATAATATGAATATTGCTCTTTAAGAGTATGGACAGAGCAAGAGCGATGTTAAAATATGACTCTTATTTCAAAATTGATTAACAAAATATTTTTTCAGAATATCTGGGATTATGAAGGTGTTTTGTATGCTTTAAATAATTCTGAACTTTCATTTATGAATGTGTTCATTTGAAGTTGTATTGAATGTTTACATGGATCATTTCATAGAGAATACATGAGTTTAAAGATATCAAATCATTTTTTCTTTCTGTCTAAAAGTTGAGACAAACAAGTCTGTACACATTAGAGGAGCAGGAAGCTTTTCCCTGGATTCTACCTCCTGAAGTCACACACACACTGGTTTCCTGAATTTGTGATTAAGTGTCTCCCGGTGTTAAGCACATGGAAGAAGAGTCTTTTGTGATTAAGTAACAACATTCAGTTTATTTTTTATTTATTTTTTGGCTTACTTGTGTTAAATTCATGTTGTGCTTTTTAAGACCTGAAGCAACTGTGAAGTGTCCCACCTGCATCGATGGTAAAAAATGATTTTTTTTTCTTTGTCATACTAAGTCATCTTTAATAATTTTCGCTTTGATACTTACAGCTCCTGTACTGCATCCTTAATATCTTAATAGCATTACTCTCATTCCCCACATAAGGAGCAGTTCAAACTAGCAAAAGAAGTCCAGTAACAGGGAAAGAGTGTTTGATTACCTTCCAGGTAACCAGATATGTAAATGTACAGGAAGAGCAGTGTGCTGCTCTCCTCCCACTTGCAGCCTGTGTGGATAAATAGCAGCTTCAGACAGATGAGCTTCATCCTCACTGGACACCTGGCATCCTAAAGCAGGTGAGTTCTGGAGTAGACTACAATCAGAGGGGTTGCATGTAATTTGTGTTGTACATCTGTAGAAAGTTTCTCATATAAATTAGCTTAATAAATTTCTGAGCTGTATTTAACTGTTGTTAATTCTTTTAAACTTGGTTTCATTCCTTTTCAGACTTTATTGGCAGACAAACAATGGCAGGTAAGTGTGGCTTTTTACAAGAATTTTCCAAGACATAACTCTAAGATAAATTCTTGACACCAGAAGTGTTGTGACTGAAACATACAGACACAATAATGTAAAGATGTGAAGGTGCAGTATAAATGCAATACAATGGACTGATTTTACCATTGAAACCTGTGTTGTCTGGGTTTACTATGGCTCATAAGTTTTTTTTCCATTTTTTTTAGACGAAACCTTTAAGAAACAGTTCCTGGACGCGCATAATAACTACAGGGCTGCGCATGGTGCTCAAAAACTGACATACAACAGCGAGCTGAACTCTGCAGCGCAGAAATGGGCTGAGGAAATTTTAAGCACAAAGACTATGAAACACAGTAACACTGAGGATGGAGAAAACATCTTCTATTCATTCAATTCACAGAAAGTTACACCACAAGGTGCCTTCTCCTTTTCTATCACATTTTTTTTTACTGGCTTTGATTTCAAAGTAATGAATTATGATCACAGTTGTGAAAAAATAATATAGAAAACAAAAACAGTCAATGTTGTCTGCTTAATGTTTGGTCAATGAAAGAAGAAGTTACTGTTTCCAATCTGTTTTTTTTTTTTTTTTTTTTTTTTGTATTCTCACCTGTTTGTTCTCTGATGTTTCAGGAAACGCAGCTGTAGATGATTGGTACAGTGAAATCAAGGATTATGACTTCAGCCGGCCTGGATGGCAAGAAAACACTGGTAAAGCACAACACACTCAACAACTTTTAACTGAAACACAGATCTATTAAAAACATATAGATTTAGAGAAAAAGTGCACAATAACAATACCATCATCCTCGCAAATCACATGTTTATACTGGCAATCCTGAAAAGATTCTGCAGATCCTGAAAAGATCGAGCTTGAAGAGGCTGCAGATGACCATCTGCGTCAGCATGGGGGAATGTTCGACAGAGTTTAACACCACAGTCTGATTGGATGTCTGTCTGTCTTCCTGCAGGACATTTTACCCAGGTGGTGTGGAAAGACACCAAGGAGCTTGGTCTTGGCTTTGCCACTGATGGTCACACTGTCTTTGTGGTTGGGCAATACCGCCCAGCTGGGAACATAACAAACGAAGGTTACTATAAAGAAAACGTTCAACAAAAAAGCTAAAGGTAACCATTAGAACACATTTCAATTTCTTCTAGCAAAACTTCCTTACTCTGTAAACAAAAGAACAACTGTCCTATAGATTGAGCTTTCAAGCTCTATTATTTTGTCTCACATGCTATCCACACAATCACACTATGCAGACATATGCAGAAATAAATAATAAAATGTAACAATACAAAGTGGACACATTTGCCACAAGTAGCAAGCAGTCCCATCAGTAAGAATAGACATTTGTATAGATAAGAAGAAGAAGGAAATGATTCCACCATGCAGGCTCACGGACACATACAGGACATTTAGCACATGTCAAATATCCACAGCAACATGATTCTGCTCAGGAGCTAAAAAGGATGGGCAGCAACTTTAGCTTGGCAGCTGCATTGCAACTCAACTCAGTTCCACCTTCTGAAAGATTTTCTCAACCCACTGAAGATTGTCCAGTCCAGACATGTCTGCCAGCTGGAGAAGCTTTTATCAGTCTGGAGCTTCATGCAAACCACAAGACATTCTTATCTCTCTGCATATTTAATATGTGTACTTGTTTCCTGAGTCACTCTTTACCAGTATTTCCTGTCTTGTTGCAGAATAAAAGCTGGCAGGTAACAACCAGCAGAGGGCGGACTGCTGCAGTTTACACCTCCAGTGGGAGGAAGTCAGCTCAGGGAAAAAGAAACTGAATACTTCTGGTGATGGGAAGGGGAGAGTCTTTTTCTTTCTCTCTTTCTTTCTTTCTAAAAATAAAGTTTTTTTTCTTTCTTTTGTATGTTGAATTATGACATACAGAATAGTGTAAACAGTGATCTGAGCAAAATGAATAAAGCCAAAATAAATTCTTTTTCCTGAAAATGTCTAGTGCAATTTCATTTGTAAAGCATTACCATGCATACAGCATATAAGGATGCACATTGTGTCTTCTTCTGAAACAAATAAGATTGTTGAGTTTTGTATGTAAAAGAGGAAACACATGGTGGCCCTGTGGAGCCATTTTGTTTTCTGAATTCTATCAAACAGGCTGTCATACCGATTTGATTATTTTGGAAACCTACAAACCTTCATTGAGCAGAACTGTACTCATCACATACATAAATACAATGTTGGGTTAATTAGTACCACCTGCAAAGTTTCACTTGCAGGACTTACAAGAACTGTTAATACTAAAGGAAGTGCTACAGACAATTCACCTCCTGGCTCCAAGAACGTTCTTTAAAATAAAGTGAATACTGCTACCAAATTATTGTCCTATCAATTGAAAGTCTGTGCATATTGTGGCTCAATGCGGAGCGTTAGTGTTACTAGTGAAAATTTATTCAGCAGTATACATGAACATCACCAAAAAAATCATGACGTGATAGTTGAACTATATAGTATCTTTACTAATTCATGGTTTATCAGATTCCTTGTTTTGCCAGCAATGTAATACTCTGTTATTTTTGCTTTTGCATGTCTAAGGCAAAGTTTCCAGGATGTTTTATTATTTCTGAATTTTGCTTTCATATAGTCATTTAGTATATATTTTAACATATACTACATTATGTTTGATTTATACACAAATATATATGTCCATGCTTCCATTTTCTAACATTCTTGTCCCTAGTGGGATCAGGAGGGGTGCTGGGTCCTACCTTTGGCAATAGTTTGGTTTTAGAAATCAATTTACTGATTTCTAAAGGCATTGTCTCTTATAGATGCCCTGACCAAAAAATATCATGTCATTATAAAACTATTATATAATGCAATTGTTTGTCATAAATTTGCAGTGCTCTGTTTGGGTCAGCTAATGGAATGTTAACGTACAGAGGTGCTGGAGACTGTATTTGGTCTGGACAATCAGTTTTATATGAAGACACCTTCCTGGTAAACAACAGTGTCCGATAAGAGGAAGGAAAAAACGTCTCTCTTTACCAAAGTGGAAAAACAGCGCCACCCAGTGACACATTTCTGTGGTACAGGGTGTGAAGGTCTGGCATTAATTCTATTTTTTTCTTTTTTTTCTTGGTTTGAATTTTAAAGAGAAACACTGCATACTAAGGCCATGTTAATTGACTTTGTGAAGTGTTATTGACTGCTGTAATGTTTTGTGTCATTGCCTGGTACTGCAGTCTATCTGATCAAAAAACAGACTTTGTACAGAGCAATTTCCTTTTGGGTTTTGTTGGGTTCTGAAAATTATATTGAGGATGGATGAAGGTATTTTTAACCATTCTTCTTTGCAAAACAATTCCAGTTCAGTTAAGTTTGATGGTCGCCGAGCATGGACAGCACGCTTCAAATCATTTCACAGATGTTCAATAATATTCAGGTCTGGTGATTGGGATGGCCATTCCAGAACATTGTAATTGTTCCTCTGCATGAATGCCTGAGTAGATTTGGAGCGGTGTTTTGGATCATTGTCTTGCTGAAATATCCATCCCCGGCATAGCTTCAACTTCATAACAGATTCTTGAACATCAGTCTCAAGAATCTGTTGATATTGAGTGGAATCCATGCGACCCTCAACTTTAACAATATTCCCAGTACCAGCATTGGCCACACAGCCCCAAAGCATGATAGAACCTCCACCAAATTTCAAGTGTTTTTCTTGGAAAGCTGTGTTTTTTTGCCGCCATGCATAATGCCTTTTTTTATGACCAAACAACTCAATCTTTGTTTCATCAGTCCACAGGACCTTATTCCAAAATGAAGCTGGCTTGTCCAAATGTGCTTTTGCATACCTCAAGTGACTCTGTTTGTGGCGTGCTTGCAGAAAAGGCTTCCGTCGCATCACTCTCCCATACAGCTTCTCTTTGTGCAAAGTGTGCTGAATTGTTGAACGATGCACAGTGACACCATCTGCAGCAAGATGATGCTGTAGGTCTTTGGAGGTGGTCTGTGGGTTGTCCTTCACAGTTCTCACCATTCTTCTTCTCTGCCTCTCTGATATTTTTCTTGGCCTGCCACTTCTGGGTTTAACATGTAGTGTCCCTGTGGTCTTCCATTTTCTTACTATGTTCCTCACAGTGGAAACTGACAGTTTAAATCTCTGAGAAAACTTTTTGTATCCTTCCCCTAAACAACTGTGTTGAGCAATCTTTGTTTTCAGATCATGTGAGAGTTGATCTGATGCCACTCTTCATAGGAGATGCCACTCCTATGAATGCCACTCTTCATAGGAGATCCAGATTGGAGAACAACTTGCAATCGGCTACCTTAAATACCTTTTCTAATGATTGGATACACCTGGCTATGAAGTTCAAAGCTTATTGAGGCTGCCAAACCAATTTTGTGTTTCAGTAAGTCAGTGAAAAGTAGTTAGGAGCATTCAAATCAATTAAATGAAAAGGGTACCCAAATTTTTGCACCTGTCAAATTTTGTTTTTATGCATATTGCCCATTTTCTATTAGTACAATAAACCTCATTTCAATACTGAAATATAACTGTGTGCATCAGTTATTAGATATATCAAACTGAGATAGCTATTGCAAACACCCAAATATTTAGAAATAAAAATAATAAAGATTAATGGGGGTGCCCAAACTTTTTCATATGACTGTATATATCAACTTACTGAGGAAAGTTGATTGTTTTATGTATTAGTCATGGTCTTTACCTCCACCACAACATGAAAGAACAACCTGAGTCAACAGGTTGTGGTGGTTGTGATGCCAATGTGTTGTGGCTTTTACTTTGTTCCAGCAACTACACAAATATTGAAGGTTCTTATAATGTCCAGCAGGATTGTTAAGATCAGTGAATCCTTCCAGCATAAAGAACTCTTTCATTATACTCCTTGTTATATTCTATGCTTTGTGTTCTTTTTCACTTTTCTATCCTGTTGTCTTTGATCATGACATGTCTGTAGTGCTTTCACAGCAGCAGGTAAGGCTTCATGGACCTGAATGGCTACATTCTTTTTGTGAAAAGTCTGTGAAATGTCAATGCTGCTTTTCATACAATCAGTCCTTATTCCCTTATCTAGACTATAGAGAACACAACTACTTCCCTTAGCTTTTTCTCCACTCAATTTTCTTTGAAGTTCTGTATATGTTTTTGGAGTATTATGTGAAACACTGACACAAAATGGTGGCTATTTGTGATTGGAAGACAATATAGACATAGCTTTTATTCTCTTTACAAATATAGATCTCAAAAGTGGCATGCATTTGTATTCAAATACCCTGAGTCAATATTCTGCAGAGGAAAACCAAATTGCCGATGAAGATGCAAGCCTTTCAGGATATATCTCTTCTGCACATTGAAATTTTTGTCCATTCGGACTGGAGAGAATCTGTTAAGAGCAATTTTTCAAGATACTCAAGTAAAATAAAGTCTGAGGTTTAACTCAACCATTCATGGAAGATCAGATTATGTAGTGTAGTGGTTATCATGTCTACCTAACATGAAAAAGGTCTCAGGTTTGAAACTAGACAGAAACATTTCTTATCATTATTATGTTTGTCACAGTGTTGCAGGTCTAATAGACGATTTCAGGTGTGTGATCTGGTACATGCAAAGTGACTTTGATGGTGTAGTGGATAGCAATCTTGTCTTTAAATGCAGGAATCTGAGTTCAATTCTTAGTAGGACCTTCTGGTGTTGTACCTCATCTTTTGCATGAAGCAGCATTTTCCATTCTGAACTTGTTCTCGGGTTTAGTTTGTGGACTCTAGTTTGAACTCAGGAAGGATTGACAATTTTTTCATCTCCAAGTTTCTGTGCTCTGTGAGAGAATCGCATGCCATCACTAAAATTTGCTTTCGACAAAATGTCTTCTAGTTTCCTAGGAGCTACCCATAAAAGATCAATTTCTATATTGTAGTGGTTATCTTTGCTTAATATGCAAAATGTCTCTGGTTTGCAACCAGACAGAAAAGTTTTGGGGTTTTCTTTCCCAAGTTATGTTTATCACAGGGTGTTAAATGTAACACCCCTGTGATACACATGTGTGATCTGATACATGCCAAGAGACTTCTATGGTTAACACTCTGGCCTTTGAATCCAACCCCCAGGAGGATGTCCTGCTAT